AATATTCACCACCTTTGTCTTCTGTTCCTCATTTTTATTCTCAGTAATAGTCCCTTCATTCATTCATTTTATTAGTTGAATAGTTTAATAATGCTTTTCACTGTGTGTTCTGAAACATTGTATTTTTCATTTTCAACATTTCTTATTTTGTTTGTTCCGGTTCTTAATTTCCTTGCTCTATTCTAACTCAGTTTTGCTGGCTTTTCCCTCTTTGCCGCCGACTTTACTTCCCAGGTCCTGGATTCAGCTTATCTGCTCTTTAGGCCATTTGTCTTTTTCACCAAAAATGTTTCAGAATTACACTGGAGCAATACTGATACAAACACCATAGGAGTAACCAATCACTTTCCACTTGGATTGACATCTCACTTCACAAGATGAAACCTGTACCTGTCACCATTGTTGGGCCAAGAATCTGTAGCTAGACAGGTCAGAGCACTAGGGAAGACCTTACAGTTACTGTACCACTATAGGAACATAGCATTAAACCAACTTCTAATGACATCATTAGACCCAAAGATAAATGCATATCTCAGCCCTCATCAGAGAAGGTTCTATTAGTAGTAGGAGATGTCAGTTAACACAGAAAAACACAACTAACTGGTCAAGGTGCAGAGAATAAGTGACTATGGAATGTCCAGCTATAAATGGGATGTCTTTATCATATTTCTTCCTCTCAAAGTTTAGGAATCATTGAGAAAGAGGATGTAGAAATACTGCTAGAGCCAAGACAGTAGGTAAATGCAGGGAAATGGTGTCCTCTGGACATGGGGAAGCTGCACATATGAACTCATATTAATTATGACAGCATGCACATGCCCCGTGCAAGCTTAAACCAAATCAAATCCCAGCATAGAGAGGGAAAAAATGGGAACAAAGGCCTACCTGTAAACAAAGAGTTGTTGACATTTGATAGTTTCTAGGAGAAGAGTCATTTTTAAGAGCAAATGTCCTGCTAAGTTGACCAAACTTCAGTGGAAAGCCACACATTTACTATTGGGAAGCACAAACTGGACTTGATGGCTGAAAAAAAAAGGACATAAGCTTGTATGGTTGGATGAATAGGAAAGTGGTACAGATCTGGGAGGAGTTCAGGAGGTGAATGTGATCAAACACATTGTAAGAAAGTCTCAAAGAACTAAAAGAAGCTCCAGAAGATGTACCTGGAAAGATGGCTCAATGGTTAAGAGCACTGACTCTTCTTACAGAAGACCCAAGTTCAATTCCCAGGTCACAATTGTCTGTAACTCCAGTTTAAAGGGACCCAATACTCATGGAAAACCACATAAAATGAAATTTCAAACAATTCTCAATCTTAAATTTATATTGTTCCATATCCTTTCATTTAGTGCCCGAGTTGCAGTGTTTTGAAAGATTCACAAGACCTTTCTTCATGTTTTTTTTTTTTTTTGGTGATTCTCTGTTATGATTTGTGTAGCCTGTTGGTTTCAATGTCTCTTCCAGTCCTTGCTGATCATCCTATTCTTGAATTCCCAATCCCTGTACCACTCTGTGAGGAGAAAGCAAACTGTCACGGTATCAACATCAAACCATAAAAGACAGAATGAGAAGACAAGATTACTCCCTACCACTGACCAGTCAACTACAGGAGTCACTACCTCACAAAAGCTCACAAAACTTATTCAAGGCTTAGCAATGCTGTGGGCTTATCCAGAGGACAAGCATGCCCATCTGCATTTTGCATGGTTTACCTTTTGAAAGCTACTTCTCCTTTGCCCCTAATCCTCGAGCAAGATGTTTGCATGTTCCCACTATGTTAGACTGACTTCTCTATAAAGTCATTTCTCTGTTTTTTATCTGTATCTTTTCAGGTATCCTTTTTGCTTCCTTTGTGGATTTCTGTCACTTTTCCTTTGTTTCAGATTAGAATAAAGCCTACCTTTCCCTATTCTAGTATTCCTTCATTAGCTCACACAAAAGCATCCTCCCTGTAGTCTATGTTCTTAACTACAAGTCGACAGTTCTTAAATTTATAAAAGAAAAAATCTGGGAGTTCTCATGATATACCATTGAATTTTATAGTAGATTTCTGTGAGAAACTGAATCTACCATATCTTCTAGTAAATTATTGTACCTTTGCATTCCATTTATTGATCAGTCCTTAACTTCAGTCAGCACTGCTTTGAAATTCTCTAAGAACAGGCTTGGAAGTCTTTGAGAAAACAACCAACAAGGGAAAAGTACTCAAAATACAATATTGCTCAAACATGTACTGTCAAACAGGATGTGTAAAAATATTTATTAGATAAAAAAGAAGAAGAACCCAGTTTGAAAATGGGCAAAATGTTTTAGCAGATTCTGAAAAACAGTGAGTGTGGCTTACTAATAATCACATGGAAAAGAACTCTACATTAGGGGTCAAGAATATATGATTCAAGTCAAATCCAGTTATTTCTCTATTATGTTGACGTTCTGTAAAATAATGATTTTATCAAGCATTGGGAAGAAGGTCAAACAATTATCCAATTTAAAGTCTACATGAGGCCACATTCTTTTCTGTATGACTAGGCTTTCAACTGTAGAAGGATCTACTAAGCGGAAATGCAGCCCGAGGGCCCACTATTTTCTGTAAAATGTCCTCCCTTCAGGTGTGGGATGCACACCACATTGCAGAAGCATTGTTCTTCCCAGGTGCCCCGCATTCTAAGCAGGACTCCAGATCTCCCAAGGCACAGCTCAGTACAGAAGAAAAAGTGTGTTGTAGCTGCCCTCAACATGGACAAAATCTTTTCTGTGGAAAGGAATACTGGTGCCAGAGGAAGACTTTTCAACACAGGGTTTGCTCGGAAACCTTTAGGAAGCTCAGGAAACTGTTGAGTGAAGACCTCCACATTTGGCCACAGAGGGGCAGTGCTGCATCAGAGCCGACAAAGTTTGTTTCTTCTAAGTACTCAGCAATGAGCCAGAGATTATGTATTCATCAGGTTGCATTTGTAAATTTATTCGTACATATATGTGTAACTATAATTTTTAAAAGGGGCCATGAATTTTGAGAGTGAAGAAGAACAGGAATCCAGTCAAGATTGGAAGGAGGAGAGGAAATTGTTAAGTTATATAAATACAATTTAATTTTTAAAACTACATAAAATATATTATCTCCTAACATGTTTACATGTATTTAGAGAATAACAAATACATGTATTTATCTTTCTGTTGCCTATGTTATACCTGTTTATCCTAGGCCCACAGGGTTGACAAGCAGGAATTTGCAAGTGAACACTATGAACAGCCATGTTATTCTTAGAGGCTAGGGCCACATCACCTTCACTAATGTACATTTCTAAGGTTGTCAGCCACACTTGGTCCAATCTCCTGCCACACTGATATGACCTGTGCCTAGAACTACGTTATAGCTACGTTATATATCCTATCTACTGGAAAATCTGCTCATGATGTGAAGCCAGCTCAATCCTCTGCTCCATCAGTATCTTCTCTGAGTGGATTGGGAATCGGCGTTCACACCCTTTCCTTCATCATCTTGTCTAGAGGCACAGGCATCTTCAGTAGGTTCCAGTTTTCTGTTCTTGAGTGCTGAGACAAGAGTGAAGATTAGAACAGTGTGTATCATGAAAGACACCCGAGCACTGACCACACGGTAGGCACTTAGGCACTCAGCAAATACATAGCACTACTCTTTCCTCTTCAACCAAACTTGTTTGTAATCTTCACATCACATCTAGTTTTTTTCTCTAGTTTTCACACAAGAACAAATATATAATATTTTTTCTTTTAAAAAATTTGATAGTTTTGTTTTGATTAATATATCCTTTGGTTCGATCCATTTTCCTACTAATGACATGATTTTGTTCTTCGACATGGCTGGGCATACTCTCGTTTTATATGCAATGTTTTTATCATTTGTCTGGTGATAGGTGGTTCCAGGATGTTTCTACATATTGGCTATCATGGTCTTGCTGTGACCCAGGATATAATGGTTCCTTATAAGCTTGCACATGTAGGGATCTTTCTAGCTTGATGACTTCAGTGAGTTGGATAAATACCCACAAGTAGAAAAGCTGAATCATGGGCAATCCTTCCTTTCTTATCTTTCTTTCTTTAAAAAATCTTTTATTTAAACTTTCTTATGAAATATATTTTGATCTTATTTCAGCTCTCCACCTACCCAACTTCATGATATCTCTTCCTCGGTCTCTCTCCAATAAAAAACAAAAACAAAAGTTTTTAAAAAGAAAAAAAACTAATAAGAACAAAAATAGCAAAAAAATGAAGCAAAAAGGCCCATTTTGTATGGAGTTCAGGGTTGGGGACCTGCTATAGAATGTGATTGATTATACCTAGTGACCCTCTATTTGGGGAAACTGAGTTTCCCAATCAGTTGCAAATAGCATTCACTTCCCCTTCTCAGTGCTTGGATTTTTCCATTTTGAACCTTTGCAGGTTTTGTGCATTCTGCCACAATCTCTAGTTCATCTGTGCCTTGGTCCTGTTGTGTCTGGAAGACCCTGTTCCTTGGAATCATTCACCACCTTGGGCTCATCTTTCCACCTACTCTTCTAAATAGGTCCCTGAACTTTGAGGGGAATACTTTGATGAAGACATCCCGTTTAGGACTGAATGTCCCAGTGATTCTCACTCCATGTGCATTGTCCAGTGAGTGTCTGTGTTAATTTCCATCAACTGCGAGAAGAACCATCTTTGATGAGGTTTGGGCACAACACTAATCTATGGGTAAAGCATGTCTACACTGATATTATTGGTGGCTATATCAACATACAATTTTTACCAACAGTGTATAATGGTAGAATTATGAGGAGGGGATTTCTGATTCTCAATGGCTGTATTTTCAGCATATTTGAGCAAATGGGGAAGTGTTTCCTGTGTCAGAAACAGCTGTTAGACAAAGTGTTTCTGAGGGGTGGAGCCTGTTGAAAGAACTGAGGTGCGCGTGAAGGCAGACTGAGTATTCTGTGGGGAGATAAAAGGCCACTGGAGATCTCACGAGCTCCAGTCTAGGAAGAATGGAAAAGATCCAGAAAGTATCTTTCTTAGTCCTCACCCTTCACCTAGCATGTGAGTAATGATGGAGAAACCCCAAGATGTGTGTGTGATTAATGTGGAGGCATGAGAAGTTGGGGTACCAGACAAAAGCAGGAATGTCAAAACCATAAACAGGAAATACATATCTGGGAGCCCAATACCATCTGTTATTTCTTTACACAGGGGTGAGTGGTCAGCAGAAGGGGAGATCCGACCAGCAGCAGGTGAAACAAAGCCCCCAATTTCTGTCAGTCTGGGAAGGAGAGACCTCAGTTCTGAACTGCACTTATGAGAACAGCGCATTTGACTACTTCCCATGGTACCGGCAGTTCCCTGGTGAAGGCCTTGGATTCTTGATAACCATAAATTCAGTGTCGAACAAAAAGGAAGATGGACGATTCACAGTCTTCTTCAGTAAAAGTGATAAACAGCTCTCCTTGCACATCAGAGATTCTCAGCCTGGAGACTCAGGCACCTACTTCTGTGCAGCAAGTGCACAGTGCTCTCCAGGCACCTACAGCCCACACCCAAACCTGCTGCTGTGCTCCAGCATAGTCCTGCTGTGGGGCTGAGCCTGGCAGAGATGCAGAGGAGTTTTCTCCTGCAGTGGCAGGTGACTGGTGATGCAGTGAACTTAAGGATTAGACTCATTCAGGCCACAGACCGGCCAAGGTGACTTCACGGTTTCCTTTCCCCTAGTCTCCCTTTGTTCTTCAGGTACCATTGGAGTTTTAGATCTATTTCCTTAACTGGTCTACTTGAATTGTTTACTGAGTGTTTGTATAAACAGTTCTCTGGGAGGTTGGTTTGTACCAACTGTAAATTACACAAGGGCCTATTTCCCTGCACTCTTGGCAACAGTGTGTTAATGGGTGATTATTAAAGCTCAGTATCAGTAGACTTTGTGGCATCTGTGATAGGAATCACACAGAATTGTCTTTTACCTTAATTTCCTCTGATGATCAGAGAAGTGATGATTTATGTGACCACCAATCAATCACTTCTACTCCCTCTTGTTTGATCTGCCTCTTATATCCTCATCTACCTTTAAGAAATTCAATATGTTAAAAGAGGCCAACACCAGGATGCAGGTGTGTTTACAAAAGACATATGACATCAGCGGAAGGAACGAAGTTTATCCACATAACAAAATACATAACTTTCACCAAATAAGTTTTTCCCATGTAATGTTTACAGATGAATCAAAAAATATAATGTTGAGTGGAAAAATCAAATGTCAGAATGAGAAATATTTCATCACACTATTTATAAGAAACTTCAGAACTACAAATTAAATGTTGTATGTTCATATTCTCAAATTCTGTCATTATTATGTTTTTGCTGCTGTTGTTAACATGTCTGTTGTGTGTTCATGCCACAGTGCACCCATGGAGGTCAAAGGGCAGCTTTACAAAGTCAATTCTACCCTTTCTGTCACCTGAGTTCCTAAAGTTGAGCACAGGTCACCAGACTTTCAGGACACACGCTTGATGTGGGATTTCCCTCTGGATGCTGTGCATATGTTTTATTACCATTGGTTAAAGAAACTTTTTTGGCCTATGACAGGGCAGAATAGAGCTAGGCAGGAAAGCAAAACTGAATTCAGGGAGAAAGAAGGTGGAGCCAGGGAGACACCAAGTGACTGCCAAGGGAAAGAGATGCCAGAATCTTAGTGGTAAGCCACAGCCTTGTGGCAATACATAAATTAATAGAAATGGGTTAGTTTAAGATATAAGAGCTCGTTAGAAATATGCCTGAGTCATTGGCCAAACAGTGTTGCTATTAATACAGTTTCTGTGTGATTATTTGGGTCTGGAGAGCCATGAAATGAATAAGTAGTCTCTGTTTACACATGCTTTCCGCACTGGCCCACCTCACCAGGTTTATATATTGCTTTCAATGTGTATCTATAAGTAGATATTACAAATGCCCTAGTTAGAAACTTCCCAATAATGATTTCTCTTTGGACACAAAGAAGAAAGTGTAGTGGCATTTCATTTGTATTTTAATAAATAAAGCTTGCCTGAGGATCAGAAAAGTACAACAGCCACAATGGCCAGCCTTATAGACCAGGCAGCAATGACACCCACCTTTAATCCAGTAACCACAATGACACACACCTTTAATCCCAGTAGCAACACTAGCTTGCCATGGAAACCAGGCAGTAGTGGTGCACACCCTTAATCCCAGAACTGGAGAGGATTATAAAATGGGAGAAGACAGCTCCCAGTCTCAGTCTCATTCTGAGGTTTCCTGGAGGCAGGATCACCATTTTCAGACTGATGTGGAGGTAAGAGTCAGTGGCTGGGTGCTTTGCTTTTCTGGTCTTTAGGTTGAACCCAAATATCTGTCTTTGAGTTTTTATTAATCATGCTTCAAGAAAGGAGTCACTGTTGCACAAATTCTAATTAGTTTTCTACAGAATTCTTAGACCGAAGTGGGCAATATCCTGTCTCTCTGAATCCTCAGACTGAATGCTCTGAGCTCCTGTCTTACCTTATATTTCTCTCTCCGCCCAGCCATAGCCCTTCCTGTCTCCATCTCCCTAATGTTGGGATTAAGGTGTGTGACTCCCAAGTACTGGGATTAATGTGTGAGCCACTAGCTCCTGGCTCTGTTTCTCTTTGAGACTGGATCAGAATTAGTCTAGTATAACCCAGAGTGGCCTTGAATTCATAGAGATTCCTCAACCTCTGCCTCCCAACTGCTGGGATTAAAGGTGTATGCCACCACTGTCTGGCCTCTATGGCTAACCAGGGCATTAGCTCCATACTCTGATCTTCAGGTAAGCTTTATTTGTTAGATTTATATATAGTAAAACATAGAAGAGAGAGAGAAGAGAGAGGTCTTCAAGTTGTGGAGAAAGGGGTACACTCATCCATTGCTGGTGGGAATGCAAACTTGTGCAACCACTCTGGAAAGCAGTGTGGAGGTTTCTCAGGAAATTCGGGATCAACATACCCATGGACCCAGCAATACCACTCTTGGGAATATACCCAAGAGAGGCCTTATCA